GATTGCTTCATAGTGCAGTGCTTAACCCCTTGCACCACCAGGGAGGCCCCTGCAAATGCTTTTGATGTTTATAGATGTTCTCTTTTAAAAGTGATATTTTTCATTAAAAATAAATAGCATTGAGGCCATCACTGAGGGGCCTCCCTGGTGGCACAAGGGGTTAAGACACAAACGATGAAGCTATCCATAGCCATTGCAGCATAAGTTTGATCCCCAGCCAGGGAGCTACCCACATGTCACAGCAGAACTCTCCCATCTCTCCCGCTGTTCCCCTCAGCAGTGTATTTCAGTCAGTCTGCCTGTTCTATTCCCTGTTCTGTTTCTAGTGAATCCTCTCAGCCCCCGCACCTCTGGCCTATACCTCAGTTCTTGTATGCATAAATAAATAAATCCTTAAAAATAAATAAATAAATGGCATTGAGATAGTAATGCTCCAACCTAAGGCAATACTCATTGATCAGAGCTGGTAGAACATTTTAAGATTCAGGATTTGAACCTCAAACTCGGACTTGACAAACCATGTTTTTGGAAATGCACCATGATCCAATGAACTATTCTATCTCAAGAGAATATGCCCAGAGTCAACTGATGGGGCCCAAATCTTCTTGATGCTATATTTTTACTTACCTTTAAGGAATAGTGAGATAATAGAAAAGAGTTTCAGAGTCCTATATAACTAAGTTGCTCTTTCTTTTCTTTATTATAGACTGCCAGAATATTTACAAATTTATTTCACAAGATAAAAATGCTGATACATACACTGTTCAATTAATTTGAATAATGCTAACAATGTTTCCATGTAAAGAGAGTCAAACAAAAATAATAATAATAAAAAGTGCTGAAATAATCTAGAGCCACCTGCATAGATGAAGTAAACTAGGTAATTGCCAAAATCCCACTTAGTTTTAAAGTGTATAAACAGGACTTTGCAATATTCGATTTCACCTTCACTATAGAAAACCAAATCCTACTCTAAGACTTCCAATAGAACAGTAATGACAATGGGGAATTAAAGGTCTCAACCTCTCCTTTTGGGGAGAGAAAGGGGCCTGGGTAGGTCTGCATACCAAACATTTACACGCTGTGAAAAAAAAACTGATTGGAAATTGCTCCTGAGAAAAGATCAAAGGTTGGGGCTTTGTGGGAGAGGAATGGGTTAGTTTTTTTAAATCAGTTTTAAAATCATAATGCTTTGTCAGTCAGCACAGCAGAAAGCATCTAGACCTTGGCAGGAAAGAGAACAATTCTGACATACAGAATGAAAAAGGAAAACAGGAAGAGAGGGGTTTACTGAACATTTTTGTGTTGAATTTTAAAATTGAATTGGTTCTTATTTTTTAAGAAAATTTTACAATAACGACGAGCCAATGACATCAAAAGAAAAAGAGGCAAAGCAATAGCAATAAAGTCTTCCAGATGTGACTGGCACATGGTACGTTGGAGGAAAAAACATGGGCTCAAGTCAGACACTGAGATTCAAACCCTGACTCCACCATTTGTTAGCTCTGATAAGTGAATTTCTCTGAAACCTTGCTTCCTCATCTATACAAGGGGACTCTTGTGTGTGCCTCAGACGGAAGTGCTCTAGGAATGAAATTAGACATTTCATGTCAAGTTCTGGGAATACTACCTCTGGATGAACAAAAGATGGCAATTTCCTTCCTGTCTCTCACTGCCAACATCTAAATAAGATGGTCTTTGGTTTGTTTAAACACCATTACTAATCTTTTTCCCCAAAGGTATCTTGGCTATAAGTGACTAACAACAAAATTGACCAGTGACTACAAAGGAACTCTCCTAAATGCTGGAGGGAATTCAAACTGGTCCAACCACTATGCAAAGCAGTGTGGAGTGTCCTCAAACTACTAAAAATGGAACTACCATGTGACCCAGCAATTCCACTCCTAGGAATCTATCCAAAGGACACAAAAACATTAATTCAAAAGGATATCTACACTCCTATGTTTATTGCAGCACTATTTACAATAAGTAAGATATGGAAACAACCCAAGTGCCCAAAACTAGATGACCGGATCAAGAAAATGTGATTTATATATACACGATGGAATATTACTCAGCAATCAAAAAGATAAACTCATGCCATTCACAGCAACATGGGTGCAGCTAGAAGAGATTATGCTCAGTGAAATAACCCAGGGGGAAAAAGAAAAATATCAGATGGTTTTACTCATAGGAGGAAGATAGGGCAACCAAATAAGGGACCAGGAAAAAATAATTATAATAAAAAACCAAAATTAGCAGGCAAATATAAATCAGAAACATTCTGCAGAGGAAGGAGAGGGATCAAAACAGGGGAGGGAAGAGCACAAGGAACTATGGTGATGGTGCACAAGTGAATTGGTGATGGGAATTTTATGGGGCCTACACCTGAGAGAAGAAAGCATACATTGTGCAAAAATAAAGAATGATATAAAATACAAACAAATAAATAAACAGTGATCATTGAGTAGTGGTTTTTGTATCTCAGTTCAATTATGAAAATTGGTGTGAGTACTTGCTACTAAATGTGGGATACGTTGACAGCAGTATGGGTACTATGTGGGAGCTTGTCAAATTACAGAATCTCAGGTCTCACCTCACACCTACTAACTCAGGATCTGCATTCTGAAAACATCCCAACACGGTTTATATGGACAATAAAATTTGAGAAGTACAAGTCTGACTCTATACCATCAAAGCACCGCTTTGTACTCAATTCAGCTGGTTGTAGACTTACGTCGAGAACAAAATAGTTAACATTGAAATTGCTCCTGGAAAATGGGAATAATTACAATGAACATTACAATGAGCAACATTATTCAAGGAACTTCTATACAATTAGCCCTTAGATGCTTTTTAGCTCACAAACAAAACTCATGCACTTGATTTTTATCTTTATTTTTCTATGATGGATAGTATGCAGTGTTCAGCCTACCAAACATTCAAGGCTGGTTGTTTTTTGTGTTTTTTTTCCTGCAAAATTGTTTAAATAATTGTTACCTCTTTATTAAGATAAAATTGGTTTACAGCACTGTTTAGTATTCAGAGGCACAGGATCTCCCCTTTCTGGTGTTGTAATTGTTAGGGGGAACAGGATGTCCTAAAGCTAATTCCATACAGGCTTTGTGGACTCCACCACCACTCCAGACCAAAGCTAAAAGACACTGGGAACTCCAAATCCCATCACCACCAAAGGGAAGGTGGCTGGAACCTGAGGGTGGGGTTAAGCAGCCAGGTGTGGTATAAAGCCAGACACGTGGACTTTGGAGGGGATTCCCCCATTTTGGCTCTCCACCAGCTCACAGCCTCCGGCCAGCTCTGAGAGTGACTTTGGGTTTCCAGGTTGGCGGATCGGGTAGGACGCATTACAGACTTTCCCTATTTTCTCCCTGAGTTGTACATTTTCCTTATTTCCTTTTCCCTTGTAAATAAACCTTTTATTAACCTTTTGTGTGTGTCTGTAGTGGAGTATTAATAAGTCCCTTTTAAGCGCGCGGGTGAGGACCCACAGCCAGGCAACCTGTTCAATATCAGGGCTGCCCTGTAACATTACCACACCACACCCACCACCACAGCACATGCAGTCCTCCCCATAGACCACTGGGTCCCCTTCCCTTTGTCCTCCATCTTCTCACTCTCTCTAGTAGCCTCAATATTACAGTGATATTTCTAGGGTTTTCATTAGTTTGGTTTTGTCAAAACTGCCTTTTAAATTAAGAAAAATTTAAATTTCCATTTTCAAAACATGGGAAATACTTCCCTATGGCACCCCAAACTTATTCAAGTAGTTTTAAGTAATTTAATTTAGTTTTAGGTTATAAACAATTTTTAAATTTTGATATAAGATCTTTTAAAACTTTTTCTACATCCATGAGTTGACTCAAAAAAATCAATAAATTTGTATTAGCCATTTTTTAAAGATGGAAGCTAAAGCAGAGTTACCATTTTAAAAAAAAAAATCTAATGTCTAATAAAAGGGACAAAGATCTTCCTTGCAAGGGTTTAGTGTTCTGAATCTGATGTTTAAGGGAGACCTCAGGATTCTCATTTTCCAGACCAGTGAAGCCTAGGTAACATTCGAGGACCTGAAGTCAGGAAAAGAAATAACTCCTCTATATGGACTGAAGTTGAGGCAGCACAGAGAAGTTGAAAGAGAATATAGATATAGAATAGAATATAGAATATAGATATAGAATAAGAAAAACCTCACTTTTTATGCAGGCCCTAAAATGGCCTCGTTGTAATATTCTGGGTGTGACAGATATTTTTCTATCTCAGTGCCCTCTTCTATGAAATGAGGGATCACAAACCTTTTTGAATTATTGTGTAGATCAAATTATATGAGTAAATACATGTAAAATATCCAGCACAACATTTGGCAGGAAGCAAGGGCTCAACAAATTACAGCTATTAGTGTCATTTGCATGTGCAAAGGAAAGGTCTTTGCTTATGGATGGAAGTCATACCTCCCTTTGCAGGATTCAGGTGTTTATCCTCAATTGCCCTACACTGTGGGAAGTTGGGTATATGAGCTGTGACAAATGTTATTCTACAGTATTTAGGTAAGAAATTATAGCACCCTCCATTATTGATCATTTTCATTAGCTTAAGTACCCCTCTTGGGGATTTATATATATTTTATATTTTAACTTGCACAACTGTATGTATACTTACTATTACTGCACCCATTTTAAGAATTGGAGTCTGAAACACAGAAGTGCTTTGCCCAAGATCACTCAGTGAAGTGGCTATAGAGAGTAGCAATAAATTTTTTGTCAACTCCCTACCCGATATCTGAAATTTATGAAATGATTGGGGGGGTGGAGGGGATCTAGTAATGGACATTGACTGGTGTGATGGCTAAATTTATGCGTTCATGTGGCTAGGCTATGCTGCTAGTTAGGTTAAACACTGGTCTAGATGTCTAGGTGAAGATAATTTTTAGATGTAATCGACATTTTAATCAGTAGACTTTGAGTAAAACAGATTATATTTTGTAGGTGAATCTCATCAATCAGTTCAAGGTCATCAGAGAAAACTGAGATTTCCCAAAGAAGAATTGGGAAATCCCAAAGAAGAATTTGGCCTCTAAACTACAACACAGAACCGTGTCTATTTCCAGCCCTCCTGGCCTGTCCCATGGAATTCATCCTCAAGACTGCAGTATCAACATTTCTTTGAATTATGTTTAATTGTATTATTTTTTATTGATTCACAACACTGTGTGAAAGGGAGCGAAGATCAAGGGGGTGGCTCAGACCTGGTTATGAGGGTCTTCTGCAGGGATGCGAGAATGTGGGTGGAGAAGGATTTGGTTAAAGGTGGTACGAGACATTTCCTGAATGCGAGCCTGGATGAATTTTACGAGGCAAGGAGCAAAAAGAAAAAATAAGGTTATCATTAGTATTGGCCCCAAGAGTGGGAGGAGCCATGAGACTATAGGATTTTGAAACCATGTCAGCGGAGAATTGGAGTCCCCGGTTTCCCATTCTATGTCTTTGTGTAGTTTCATTAACATTTTGTTCTACAATCCCCGATTCGTTGATATAGTAACAACATTCTTCCCTGAGAAACAGGCAGGTACCCCCCCTTATTAGCTGTTAACAAGTGCAGAGCCCACCAGTTTTGAAGAGTGACCTGTGCCAGGGAGGTGAGCTGTCTTTGTAATGATGCTAAAGACACATAGGGTTTTTTCTAAGGAGGTATCTATTCATTCATAAAATCCCTGGGCAGAAATCAGGCTGTGTCCCAGGGCCCCACCTGCCATACTTGCAGCTGCAATCGATGATGCCAGGCTGATTCCAACCATGATTAGAAGACAGGCCGCCCACTTCGGCACCAAGATGAAAAGTACTATGCGGTAAAGAAGAGCCAGGCCAAGCTTCCTCAGGGGAAGGGAAAGTTTATTGCGCCTGGGCGGACCTCACGGACCCAAGGTGGGGGTCAGTAAAGCCGCGCACATTGTCGGGGGAAGCAGGTTTTTATAGGGTAAGGAGAGGTCAGGTGGGAAACTGGGTTCATATGGCAGGAAAAAGTTTGTGGGGTGAAAAGATTCATGGGGCAGGTGGAGGTTCTTTGTCTGAGAAAAGATTTGTAGTTTGTAGGGCGAGGGGGAAGGCTCATTGTCTGAATTCTCTAGGCAGGCTTCCGCATTCCTGTCCCCAGATGGGCTTCCTGGTGGGTTTTTGCATTCCAGCCTCCGGCATGGACCTTCCCAAGTGCATGATTCAGATGTATAGATGTATGTCACCAAGCCACACCCACCACTAAAGTACCCATAATCCTCCACCACACTCCATTGGGCCCCCTCCCCTTCTCACTCCCTACTCCCAAACTCCCCCTCTGGTAGCCTCAATTCTGCAGTTGTATTTCTAGGGTTTGACTGGTTTAGTTATATCTATTCCTTTGTTTTGTTTCTTTACATTCCATATGAGAGAAATCATGCAGTATGTCTTTCTTCTGATTTATTTCATTTATCATAATCCCCTTCAGTTTTATGGTATGTTGTTAAAAATGGCAATATATTATCCTTTTTATAGATTAATAGTATTCCGTTGTGTGTATATATACCACATCTTTGTCCCCATATCTTTATCCACAAATCTGTTTTTGGACACTTAGGCTATTTCCATAACTTGGCAAAGTAGCCAATAGTGTTGTGATGAACATGGGAGTACATTTATCCCTTCACATTATGGGGGCTTTTTGTTTTTTGTTTGTTTGTTTTTTTTTTATTCTTTAAGTAAATACAAGAGTATTGGTGAGTGTTTGGAGAAAAGAACCTTCATACACTTTTGGTGGGACTGTAGATTGGCCCAACCCCAATGGAGGTATGGAGGCTTCGCAACATCAAGTTTTACCTGAATTTCCTGTCATACAATTTCCAGACTTCCCCATCTCATGATCATTTAAGCCAATTCCTTAAAATAGAATAAAATATCCCATTGATTCTGTTTATCTGGAAAAGCCTACTATAAAAAGGGTAATAATATCTTCTTCTATTCCTTGAGACTTAAGGGTAAAATCACAAGCAATCCAAAGATGGAAGGAGGGTTAAGAAATTATTCAAGGCCTCCCTGGTGGCACAAGGGGTTGAGCACAGCTCTTTGAAGCTGTCCGCAGCTTTTGTGGCTCGAGTTCAAGCCCCAGCCAGGGAGCTACCCACATGGTGCAGCAAACCTCTCCTAACTCATCTGTTGCTCCGCTCAGCAGTGTACTTGGTCTATCAACCTGTTCTGTTTCCCCGCTCTCTCTCTGGTGAATCCTCTCACCTCCCACACCTCTGGCCTGTACCCCAGTTCTTGTAATCCTAAATAATAAATAAATCTTTAAAAAAAAATTATTCAGTGGTAGTGGCAGCAACATCAAAAATGTGCTGGTGGCAAATATACAATGAAAGTGACACCAGTGGCAGATTCATCAGGTTGTTCCTGGGTGACTTTGACTGAAATCCCTAATACCCCTTGGTTTTCTGCCAATTTTCTGAGATTGGCTTTCCACCTTAATTCAGATTCTGCTATTCATTATCCTTCCTACAATTTTCTTCCAAGTTTAGGGAAGCCCAATTGGTCTCTGTTGCTTGCAAACAGAGTGGATCCCTGACGTTACAGTGGTGGAGTAATGAGATGAATCCGGGCGTCTTAACTCCAGTGCCTGCCCTTTTGACCTGATTCCTATCACAACAGAACTTCTAATTTGAAAAGAATCTTAACAATGAAGTCCAATTTCCTAATTAAAACATTAACACTTGATTAAAATAAAGACTAATATTCAATGAGAATGATGAATAAGATATGATTCAAGGTTACAGAGGATTTTATAAAGGGGTATAAATACATTTCCCACAAATACCAATAGACTGAAAATCAGAGATAAAGCTACAAAGAGACTAAGAATGAATTAAAAATCAAAAAGTGAAATACTTTATATTTCAAGAAAACTTGGATACTCCAGCAGAAGACAGCTTTCGTTGCATGATAACTTGAACTAGAGAGGCTTTGGAGTGCTATACTAAGGGACAATAGCCACAAATAAATACGGGACTGAAAAGATGCATAGAAAATAAATAGGATTATCTGAGTATCTACAAACTAAACCCTGAGTTCACCCTTATGCAACTCCAGCTACTTCTTCCAGTTTATGTCTGAGAACATTGGCAACCAAATCCTCAGGCAAGAAACAGAGGAGTCTGCTCCATGGCACAAGGGAAAGAACTAGATACTGGCATCTGGGAGTACTCCAATAAAACAAAAAGATCTCCACCCAATTCTGTTGATATTACCAGGTTTATCACAACTCTCAGGAAAGCACTTTCACAGTAGACTTATCAATCCTGGCAATTTAGGCTGAGGAAACTGTTTCTGATTTGGAATAGGGGTAAAAATGGACAATTATCTGTTAAATCACCATGGGATTTGGCCTACTGATGCAATTTTAACAGGGAATGGTTCTACACAATGTGTTATAAAATGCATTCTAATAATCTCTCTGGTGAAATATTTTAATAAATCCCTTTTTCACTTGGCCCATTATTAATAATACATTCTCATGCATAAGTACTTCTAGTCAATGTCTCAATGCTTGCCTCTTAAATAAGAATGGAAAGCCAAGGATGTGAACATACTTGAGAAAACTGTCTATGATAAGAGTGAGTAATCCAGGGCCTCCCTGGTGGTACAAGAGTTAAAGATAGCTCTGTCAAGTTATCGCCAGCCACTGCAACAAAATTCGATACCCGGCAGGCCAGGGAGCAACACACATGGCGGGCTGAACTTTCCTGCCTTGCCTGCTGCTCCCCTCAGTAGCATATTTCAGTAGATCTGCCTGTTCTGCTCCCCACTCTATTTCTAGAAAATCCTCTCACCCCCTAGATCTCTGGGCTATATACCCCAGTTCTTGTATGCAAAAATAAATAAATCTTAAAAAAAAAAAAAAATGAGCAATCCAAAAAAGTCAATAATCCAAATGGGGATTTCCTTATAAAATATATTATTCTAACAGCAGTGACTTCTGATGGAAGAAGCGAGGGTGATTTTTAAATAAGTTACATCACCAACATGAAGATTCCAACTAACAGACTTTTAGGGAGAAACTTTGTGAAGAAATCTTTGGGGTTTTTTTGTTCAGGTGTAATTAACCCAATGGGGGCCATTTAGCAATGTAACCTAAATGAATTTTGGGTCTAGAGTCCCTTGAAAAAACAGAAAATATTCATTTGGGAAAATTGCATGCTTGCCCAGAGATTGACACTGAGTTTTGAGTAGGTTTTAAAATTGCAATTTATTTCTGAGGTCCAAAAATTGAACTGGCATTCTACTCAAAAAAACATTTAGAAACTGAAGCTTGAAGGAAACACTTAGGAAAGAGTGATGTGGGATCATTTGCCAAAAGGATGGCCTGCAAGTTAATTCCTAGAACTCCAGGCCCTGTCAAGTTTTGGGATATGAATTCCCCAAACTGGTAATTACAACTCTCAGGAAAGCACTTTCACAGTAGACTTATCAATCCTGGCAATTTAGGCTGAGGAAACTGTTTCTGATTTGGAATAGGGGAAAAAAATGGACAAATATCTGTTAAATCACCATGGGACTTGGCCTACTGATGCAATTTTAACAGGGAATGGTTCTACACAATGTGTTATAAAATACATTCTAATAACCTCTCTGGTGAAATATATTAATAAATCCCTTTTTCACTTGGCCAATTATTAACTAGAAATAGAAATGATGTCCTTCTTGCCGCCTTTCTTTTTTTTAAGTACAATAACAACATTTTAGTTATGTTTTTAAGACTTTTTAAGTGCAGTTTTAGATTTACAAAAAAAAAAAAAAATGCAAAGAAAGTATATTTCCATATATCTCCTACCCCAGCACACATACCTTCTTTTGTTATCAACATCATTCCCCAGAATGGTACATTTGTTACCAAGGATGAACCTATATTGACACCTCATAGTCACCTAAAGATCACAATTTATCTTAGGGGTGACTCCTGGTTTTGTATATTCTAAGGATTTGGACAAATATATAATGACGCGTGTCCATCATTTAATATCATACAGATTAATTTCACTGCCCTAAAAATCCTCTATATTCTCATTCTTCTCTCCTCAACATCTGTTTCCACCATTGGAAGACATTTATCTCTTAACTGTCTCCATAGATTTGCCTTTTCAAGAAAGTCATATGGTGTGAATCATACAGTATGTAACTTACTTAGTGATATGCATTAAGTTTCCTCCATCTCTTTTCTTGGTTTGATATCTCATTTGATTTTAGTGCTGAATAATATTCGATTACCTGGGGTACCACAATTTTGTTATCCATTCACCTACTGAAGGACATCTTGGCTGTTTCCACATCTTGGCAATTATGAAAAAGCTCCTATAAACACATATGTGCAGATTTTAGTGTGGATGTAGATTTTTTGAAAGATAACAAGGAGTGCAATTGCTAGACCATATGATAACAGTAATGTCTCATTTCATCTTCTTTGCTTTAGTTCTGTTGTTAGGGAGGTATGATATCATTGATGTTGGATCTGGATAGCACCAAAGAACAAAATACATCAGTGAAATAAAGGTAAATATAATATAATTTTCACTAATTACTACTTTTCAATTTTAAGGACAGTAATAAATATCAGCAATTGAAATATGTGGTAAGAATTGATTTATACTAGAAAACAATAGAGAATAGGCCAGTATTTTCACTTTTTTCCATTCAATTCCTTTCTACTCACACCATCCCTCAACCCTGGCCAAAGGAACCCAACAAGTCTACTGTAAGTAGTTTTACCAAGGAAATAAAAAAAGGAGAAGGTGGTTGTTCCCTTCTCAAAGGTGTGGAATTGGGAAGATCCAAAGTTCTATTTCCCTACATCTCATACTATGGGAGTAAGGAATGAATCCCCTATTGCTTTTGACTTGAAACTTGACAAAATAAATTTAGTGATAAAAGTGTTACCTCAGATATACAGCAACTCTTTCTAAATGGAAACACATTACATTAAAGCCTCTTTTTCTTTTTTCTGAAACTCATTGGATTAAACGTAGGTGAAATTGCCCAGGAACAGAGCCTGGAAATAGAAGTTGAGAAGAACTGAACATCTCTACATGAAAGAATGAAAGGATCTGGAGTTCCTAGAAGTGAACCATCAGTGGCAGTTTGCAGAACTGGGGGAGATGAAAGAAATGTGGAAAATGGAACCACAACTAAATTAATTGATAACCCCAGAGAAAGACACTAGTTGGGAATGATCAAAAACATTTTAAAATCTGAAAACTGAAAGCTGACCTTAAAGTGACTCTTTTTTCTGGCTCACAAACACCACCTTCATGTATCACCACACCACACGTGCTAAGCGCACACTAATTCATGTGTGTCCGTGTGTGTGTGTGTGTGTGTGTGTGTGTGATGAAGAGGCTAATTTTCACATCTGGGAATATACAAGACAGACAGTGGGGAGTGAAAGCCTGGAGTTAGAGGAGATACAGGGATATAACTGTAAGATGCTAGGTAGCCACAAAATCTTCGGGAGTATTTTGAACTTTGAAACAAGAGCAGGATTTTTAAACCAAGTCTGACAAAAAACAAATGTCCTTTAATGAAACAGATGAAATGCAGTTTCTAGTTTGACATATTGAGTTGTTATCATCCCAATGCACCAGACTTCATCTTTATTTTTGAAATCAGATGGAGCAGGAGGTTGCTGTAGAATTAGGTAGCTTCTATCCTCCTCTTTTTGGTCCACCTGAAGCACAATTACTTTCTTTTCTTACAAACTTGGCATTTTTAAGAAGCTTATTTTTGTTGCAGTTGAGTACTTTGGAGGAGGTATTTAATATAACTTAGTTTTAGTTAAACTTGTTTTATACATTTTTTACATCATTTTTCATACTCTCGTATCTTAAAAAATTAAATGATGAGAATATTTATTTCTATTTTATATTCATGTAGATCACTCTTTTTCCTGGGAAATTTATTACTTATTTCCTCTGTCTCTCCTCTACGACGTTCAAGTTCCATTTTCCTTCCCTTTGACTTCTGAAAGTTTGTCTTTAAAAAATAAATTACTGTTTCCCCTGAACTGAAGAAAAAAATAGTTCTTTTCATTGGGTTATTATTCACCCATTATGTTTGCCTTTTCTTCTCTCCTGTCAGTACATTCCATTAAAAAAATAAAATCTTGTTCAATAACTAGCTGGCTGAGTTCATTTTCACATAAATTTATTCATATCACAGCAGTTACTTGGCAAAGAATTTTACGAAATTCACTGACCTTGAAAGCCAGATAGGTAGGAGGTGTGCCCTAACTTTACATACCAAATAGAGGACTATTGAGAATATGGTGGTAGTCAGATATTGAAGGTTTCAGTAGACAAAACAGTACCAAAACTGTTTATTAGGAGCACCAACTTTATTCCTTTTGGACCTGGGCTTAATTCAATAACAACCTGCTAGTACTCATCTGCTGAAAGACTGGCGTGTGTTGCCCAGTAACATGGGCAGCGGTTCCTGAACAGACTGCCTCCGTCATTATGATCCATATGGCCAAGCGCAAATGAATGGGCAGGGAGGAGAAGGGGTCTCACTGTGTCATAGAGTCACTCGACCTGTCCAAATGAGAGACAACAGAGAGCCTCACCACGTGACTGTTTAAGAACATTTCCATTTTCTTCGTCTGCAGACTCATTTAATATTCCATCTTCAAATGCCTTCGAATTTTTTTTTAAAGATTTTTTTTATTTATACAAGCACTGTGTACAGTCAGAAGCACAGGAGGGTGAGAGAATTCACCAGAGCCAGAGCGGAGAACAGAACAGACAGACCGACGAAATACACCGCTGAGTGGGAGCAGCTGGCGGCAGGAGAGGTCTGAGCTCCGTGTGGGACCCTCGCAGACGGCCGGGGATCCAAGCGGCACTGCAGAGGCTGCGGGCAGCTTCGCAGCCCAGTGCTCAACCCCTGCGCCACCGGGGAGGCCCTGCCTTCGAAATTTTTAACTTGAGCATCACCTGGTGAAGTCCCAGATGATTTTAAAGAAAAAGAAACATCCTGGTTTATAGGAAGAAAGTGGAAGAGTCATAGATTTTGTGATCAGGCCAATTTATGAATCCAATGTAAAGGAAACAAGACTACATTTTTGTGCTCTTTGTGGGAGGCCCAGTTATTTTGAGAAAAATGACAGCAACTGTCCTATATTCCATAGAAACATAGAAGAAGAAGAAAAAAATCACCAGAAACTCTATGAGCCACTGCATATGCCACAGTGTGGCTCAGGGCACAGCAGGCCACAGCACCCAGCAGGAGACTACAGAGAAAGTGGTGTGTGCAGAGAGTCAGGCAATGACAGTGACGAGAATGTGAAAAGGTCTAAGAAAAGAAGATCCTTAACTCTAAAAGAAACAAGAGGCAACTTACTATAATGTGTAAAAATAAAGATACTAGAGCCAGAGCATGAGGGTTTGAATCACTTACCAGCTAGGTAAACCCCTAAATTTCTCTGGGCCTCAGTTTTTGTTCATCTGCAAATTGGGAACAGTTAATGGTACCTCCCACATAGAGTGCCTCAATTTCCTGAGGTGCCATAATAGAAATACCAAAATCTAAAAACTAGAAGTTCAAAATCAAGGTGCCAGCAGAGTTGGTTCCTTCTGAGGTCTGTGATGGAGAATCTGTTCCTCTCTCCTAGCCTGTGGTGGTTTTCCAGAAATCTTTAGCTGGGAGATACATCACTCCTATTTCTGTCTTCATCTTCACAGGACTCCTCCCAATGGGTTTTTGCATTGTATTCCCTCTGAGAGAATCTGTCTCAGTATCCAAATTTTCTCTTTTTATGAGGACACCAGTCATATTAGATGAAAACCCATCCTAATGGCCTCACTTTAAATTGTTTAGTTCTATAAAGATCCTATTTCCAAGGAAGGTCACATTCTGAGGTAATAGGGTTAAGACTTCAAGATACTTTTTCAGAAGGATAAAATTTAATCCACAACATAGCATTTTTGTTAATGAGTTGATTTGCATAAGTGCTTAACACATTGGCTGGTATATAATAATCACTACACAACCATTAGCTAACATTAATAATAGTAGGATGTTTTACATAAATTAAGAGTCAAAAAAAAACCTTTAGTGAATGTAGCTGGCAACACAAGCAGCTTGCTGTATGCCCTGTTGTAACTGAATGGATAAAAATGGAAATTTCCAGAAGCCAGGAAGGATGAATAGCAGGGAATCTAAAGTCTTGAGTGAGCAAAGACAGTAAAATTGGTCTAAAGAGATTCAGGTCATACACACACAAAGTTAAACTTTCTAAAAATCCCTACAGTGCCCTTTACTTGCACAAGAAATCAATTCTATATTATAAATATATAAATCAGGATTCTCTTCACTGGGTGCTCCACAGGAAGCCAGGTTGGGCTCCTGACTTATTCCTGAATCACATTTTAGCCCAAGGTCAAAGGACTGACATAGGAAATCAAGAATGTGAAATACGTGAGTACTGAGGGTAAACAGAAAGTCACTGTATCCATTTAAAATAATCACAGCCTTTCAGTGTGGCAAATTGTGACACAGTTGTGACCAGTCCAGTGTCTCCCTGTAAGCAATACACATGGAAAATGAATTCATCTGAAGGGTTTTGACATGTAAAATCAGAACTGGCAGAGTTAATCCTGTGGTTTAAATGGTTAATAGAGTAATTTCAGATAGAATATTGCATCTGTCTCCATAATAAAGATATAACTGCTCAGGAACCATAAGACTGATCCCCCAGGAGTTATTTAGAGCTTTGTCTCTCTCCTACAGTCTGTCTACAGCCAACTCAGACACCGGCCCTCTGTCATCTCTGCAGCACCCCATAACAGCCCACTGACAACCTCCTTACATGACTGACAGGATGGTATTTTGAAATGCTAGTAAAGGAATTTTTCCCCCAACATTCTCTTGTATCCCTTATGTCTTCCCACATTCAGAAATTTAGGAATTGTGAAGTCACAGCATTTAGGGATGGAATGAATGACAAAAGACCGGAGAAAACAATACTCTTGGTTTTGGGGTTTTAATAGTTTAAGCTGTTGGGAAGAGAAAAGAATCTTGCTAGACTGGGAAGAAGAGAATGTTGTAAGGACAAGCATCCTGTCCCAGACCTTAACTAAGTTACCTTATCTGGGGGGCAAGAGCATTAATCCATGAGATGTTAGATGTTGGTCTGTCCTCTAATAAAGTTGCCCTGGACCTGTCCTACCTTGCAGGAGAAACGAGCAAGATAGACACCTGAATTAATTAAAATTAAATTTCTACCACTTGGTAGAAGTGGGAGCTCAAATCAGAAAAGCAAATAGACCTACAAGAACATAACACCTTTTATTAGTTGCAAACATAAGTTAATAAACAGTTTCTCACAGTACATAAATAATACCAACCAAATAACAATCTAGTGTCCCTTCAGCCAACAACTGCACCCCTGTAGGGGGATTGAGTGTCTCTGCTCTGATTCAATAGGTTTTCATTTACACTTCAAAGTTCAGATAGCAAACTTATTTCCCTTGTTTTCTTTTTTTTTTTTTTTTAGCTTCCAGTTAAGCACAATGTTGCCTATGTCATGATCCATTTACCTACCGAGCTATTAAACAGAACAAAAAAGATGGAAATAGTATCATTAAATAAAGGATATAGCATCTATAAATTTAAGATAGTCACTATTTTTTATATTCCATACAAACACAAAACATGATAGAATGAGTATACTTGAATGAACACATTTTTAACTTCAAAAATCTACTCATGGGGCCTCCCTGGTGGTGCACGGGGTTAAGACACGACCTATGAAGCTGTCCACAGCCTCTGCAGCACGAGTTCAATCTAAAAAGATTTATTTATTTATGGATACAAGAGCTGGGGTACAGGCCAGAGGTGCGGGGGGGGTGAGAGGATTCACCAGAGACAGAGTGGGGAACAGAACAGGCAGACTGACTGAAATACACTTCTGAGGGGAGCTGCGGGAGAGTCAGGAGAGGTCTGCTTCACTATGTGGGTTGCTCCCTGGACAGCTGGGGATCGAACTCGTGCTGCAGAGGCTGCGGATTGCTTCATAGTGCAGTGCTTAACCCCTTGAGCCACCAGGGAGGCCCCTGCATAAATAAATAAATCTTTTTAAAAAAATCCGTTCATGGTATTTTGCATGTCAGTTTACAAATGTGTCTGTAGAGCATCTGTACATGTTGCTTATAATTCTAAACTAACAAGCAAAATACTGAATTTCAACCTATTTTTCATGATGCTTGAGAGTCAGTGGGCTGCTTCAAGATGAAGCTGAACATCCCTTTCCCAGCCACTGGCTGCCAGAAACTCATTGACGTGGACCATGAATGCAAAGTTCATACTTTCTATCATCAGTAATGGCCACAGATGTTGCTGCTGTTACTCAGGGTGAAGCGCGGAAGGGTTATGTGTTCTGAACCAGTGGTGAAAACGACAGTGTTTCCCCATGAAGCAGAGTGTCTTGACCCATGGTAGAATTGGCCCACTGCTGAGTAAAGGGTGTTTCTGTTATAAATCAAGGAAAACCGGAGAAAGAACACAAATCTGTTAGGGGTTTTATTGTGGATGCCAATCTAAGTGTTCTCAATTTGGTCATTGTGAAATAAAGGAGAGATAGATAATCCTGGACTCACTGATACTACCATGCCTCCCCACCCAAGGTCCAAAAGAGCTAGCAGAATCTGCAATCTTTTCAATCTCTAAAGAAGATGATAGGGCCTCCCTGGTGGCGCAGCGGGTTGAGCCCCGCGCTGTGGAGCTGTCCACAGCCTCTACAGCATTGGTTCAATTCCTGGCCGGGCAGGGAGATTCACACATGGTGAGGCAGACCTTTCCTGTCGCGCC